ATGCAGAATAAAATCAAAGGGATATCGTGTGATCATGTCGGGATCTTCCCTTTGGAACTGGAAATACCTAAAAATATTTAAACCACAAACCGTAAGCATAAAGCTTAGTAAGTTCTCCCAAAATACCACATACCATACAACGGGCCCAGCCCAACATACAAATGGGCCCAACCCAGTATATTAATGGGCCTAGCCCAACATAACAACTTGCCTAATACAACATATCAATATGCCCAACCCAACATACAAATGGGCCCAACTCAACATATCAATGGGCACAACCCACCATACAAATAGGCCCAAACCAACACATAATACAAGCGTCACAAAGACATTTAGCATCCTACACAGTATGGTGAGAAGACTCACCTGACTCATGAAGTGAGCTAAGCCACAGCTCAATGCCATGTAACCAGTGCTACAACAAACCTATCATATAATACAAGGTCCAACCTTAGTCTATACCTTGAATCCAACAAATTAACCTAAAGTCAACCATGCAAAAAGTCAATGGTCAAAGTCAAAGCCAATAGTCAACAATACTAACAGTTGACCCTCACATCGTGACCAGCCCTTGGTTAGGTCGTGAGAACGCACTCTGCCTGATTTCAAACTCTCTTTCGCACCAACTCAACCAACTTGATTACGAACAACTCACCCAGCAGACACCACATTGTGAACCCTCCTCGGTCACATCGTGAACAAAAAAGGACAAGGTAATCGGGGGATCTTTGAGAGAGATGGAGGCTGAGAAATGAACTCTAAATCCGAGTTTAGGGTCCTTAAATACGAAGGAAACCCTAAAAGATCATAGGCTTGGGTTGCAGCCCTTGTTACGTCGTGACCAAATACATGTCATGTCATGACTAATCCTCCGGATACACGTTCATCAATTTGGCTTGTCATGTTGTGACCACCCTACGATCATGTCGTGCGCATAATTTTTTTTTCAAAAATCATGCCTTTGACTCCGTTATGCCCTACTCTTATCCTATCTGGAAAATGGGTGTTACACTTACTAACTAATCTAAAGGATGTGCTCTCAACCTCACAATGATTGCTCTCTTCAAATTTCTATACAACTAACAATAATGTGGGAAACACTAATTATGATGGGCCAAGCTCATCTATAATTAACCCATAATGGGGATGCCCTATTTTCAAACTAATCTCAGAGTGCCGTGCATATGCTTTTGTTACCTTCAAGCTCATGAACATCAACCGAACACATGAGCCATACTGGAGCATCATGATCACTAGTAGCCCAACATCTATCATGGTGGCACGACATGGTGTATTCCTTGAGCATCACCAACTTTTGAGATATATTGAGCATCATAGAGGACTCCATAGCATACGTGGCTCATCAGGGTACCATAACGTCACACCTTGCACCAAGATGGTGCAACTTGCATGATGATGGCCCATCTTCTGCAAGGATGGCGTAACATCCTTCAAGCATGGCGCAAGATCTTCTACTTTTGCGCTACATCTTCCAATTTGGTGCAACATCAATCACTTTGGTGCAACATCTTCCATGAATGACGCAACATGTATGTCAATGGCATACATGTTGCTCCATTCCACCCCCAAGTGCTCTAAGTTGCTCCAAATGCTCCTAGTTGCTTCAAGTTGCTCAAAATGCTCCAATGTTCTCCAAGTTGCTTCAAATTCTCCAAGTTTCTCCAAGTTAGACAAGACTTCATACCCCAATATACGTCACACAGCTTGGCATTTCTGACACTAGTCGGGGGTGTGACAAGTCAGATCTTTCCCCTTGCTGCTAGAAGTAACTAAAACAATAAAAACCAAATCGTAAGCATAAAGCTTAGTGAGTTCTCCAAAATACCACATAAAAATACGCGCCCCACCAAACATACATAACAGTCCCTGCCCAATACAAATACTGGGCCCACCCAATCATACATAACGGGCTCCGCCCAGTATCCACTACGAGCCCCTCCCAATATACACGAAGGGCCTTGCCCAACATACATGCAAGATTCACAAAGACAATCTAGCATTCTATAAAGTATAGTGAGAAAACTCACCTCTTAAATCACAATAGTCTACACCTCAGCTCACAAGATCGAAAAATTGGTGATATCGAGTCTATTTACGCTAATCATACACATAATAAAAATCCTAATTAACAATCAAGGTAATAAATATCTCTTTAAGAGTCTGGGTTCACAAATAATCATTCTTTAGGGAATAATACCATTTTTCCCTTGCAAGACTAAGTCCTAACACAGTTGACCAAAAGTCAAATAGGACAAAAAGTCAACGGTCAACCCTCAGTTGACCTACGCTTAGCGTAGCATACTGCTCTACACTCGGTGTAGATCTCCAAGTGAGAAAATGGGTAATTCCAAGTCTACGCTCAACATATAGATATCTAAGCTCAGTATAGCCCCTTGAAATCCAAAAACTCCATTAAGCTCTTAATACAGAAGGTAAGCCCCTCAAACTTTAAGATTTGGACCAAATGGACGTCTTAATAGATAAATTTATCCATTTGCATGGCTAAAAGAGAAAAACCCAAACCCTAAGTCCATAAAGCAAAATTATGCTCAAGAACTCATGCATGGATGGATGAGAGTCTCCAAGATCTCATTTTTATGACTCTATAACCTAAAAAACATCAGAAAATGACATTCAAATGGTCTGGAGTAACTCATACTCACATGGACCAAGATTATGGGGACAAAATCCATAGAAGTTCATAACCAAACTAGATCTAACATGAATAAACATCAAGACAGAAACTTTATACCTTCTAGAGATGGATGTTGGCTTGAAAATTCTAGATCTAAACAACTTGAGGCTTCCAAGTGGTTCCACACAACATCTTCTTCCTTCAAAAGAGCACACAAGTCAGTCCAAGAGCTCAAAACTCATAAACGGTGGCTAGGATTCCAAGGTGGAGTTTTAGGAGGGTGAAGGTTGGTCATGGGGAGGATCCTAAGGAGTTACAGCCTTTAAATAAGGCTCAGGACCCTAGGTTTTGGGTTTTGGTCTAGCGCAGATACACTTTGTGTAGCCTAATCTGACGCCCATCATAGGTCATTAAATCCTCGTCCATAATCCCTCACCTACGCTCAGTGTAGAGGATGACCCTATGCTAAGCGTAGGGCATAACTTCTCAAAACCAACTTAATCACAAAAGAATTCAAAGAACAATACCTGAAAAATCTGGATGTTACGATAATCCTTGTCCTCAATTTCTTGATCATAGAAAGATCCTCTTTAGCATCTAGTTTCTGCTTTAGAGAATAAAGAAGGTTTTTGTACTACCTTTCATCCCGTTCTTCATCTTTCCATTCAAAATAACCACATTTATTTAGCTTAGTCTATAAGGAATACACATTAAACATCTACGAAATCCTATATGATCAAAATCAAATCTAATCATAATCGTCTAACAGAAACCAAACCAAAATTAGTAGACAGAATCAACAAAATATAAATTTAGGATTTTTTTTCGAAATAAAAGGATTTTTGGCAGTGAAATACGAGTTTAAAACACTAAAATCTATTGCTTTAATGAATGTAGCTAGATCCAAGATTACCATATTGTTTCGACAATTCCAAAAATGCCTCATGGGATTAGTTAGCTTCCAACAAGTTCGTTCCTTAGCTAGAACACTATAATTGCATATCTTCACAACATCTCGAACCTACATATGAGGAACTTGGAACCGATTCCTTATAGTCAACGAGCTAGAAGACATTTTTCTTGAAGATGACAATAGTCGAAGGAAGAAAATTTTAAGTTTGCATGAATAGGTAAGAAAGAAATGAGAGTGGTCCAAATAAGGGTTTCAATTAATAGGGTTGTCGGATAAATTGACATCCTTCGCCACATCACTAGGCCACATACAAATTATACATAAGCAAATTTGTAACAACAGACATCCACATAGGCATGGCAATTGGTAAACCTTTTAAAATCGGGATAAATGGTTAATTTGATCGATAAAATAGGATTTTAATGGTCTATTGCGCAAAAAAAAATAACTTTAGTTACGAAATCGGAAAAATTCCTTAACTTTAATGTGCTACAGTGACATTTTCCCTTCTTTATATTTATCTTCCTATTCATATAAGATTATGATACGTAGATACCACTAATTTTCTCTCTTAATCTCATCTCCTGTTTTTGACACTTATCTTGATCTAGTGGATAGAAAGAAAAATATGAAGAAAAGGTAGAATATATTTGATTTCTGAAGAAATAAATATTTTTTTAAGAATTATAAAGTTTGTTATCAAATATATAAGGAAACCATCTCTTATTTCAAGTGACTTTAATTGATTCTCTACTAGAAGTCTTCTTTATAAAATTTAATACCTGTCTCAAATATGTATTAATTATACTATGTGTGAGACTTAATTATACTATGTGTGAGACTCGTGCATTACCTAGGCTGATTAAATATTTGCAAAAAAATATAAATTTATAAAGACAGAAGTTTTGTCACTAAGGCAACATTGCTATATTGGTTTTTACTATTGCAAAGTAAAACAACATTACTATACGATTTTTCATGGTTGCGAAACCAAAAACAAAATCTATAATAATGAAAGCATATTTGTTATAAAATAACATGAAAAATAAATAAATAATCGTTAAAATAGGACTTATTGTAATTTTTTTAGCGGTTAACATACCTTCAAAAAAATCCGACTCTTAAAGTGCTCATATGTCTACAATAGGAATTGAAGAGTTGATTTTTCTTCATACGAGTAATCTAAAAGTTGTATGAAAAGTTTGACTTTTTTTTTTCTAAATTAACATCAAAATTCTATAATGGGAGTACATGCGACATCAATCGGCTGGCTTGCACTATTTTAATATTTATTTTTTTCATTTGGTCGGAGTATTTAAAGAATTACCCAATCACAACTCATATAGGAGGAAACCAATACGTGACAAGCACCGAGCCTCCAATCAACAGCCACAACACATAATCATCCCAGCGTCTCTGCCGCCTCTGATGACCACGAGAACAATAGACCATCGCTCATATGCACAAGCTATGGGGATTCAAAAGGAGACTTATCCAGTAAGTAACCCTCCTATTAAACCCAACTCTAACACACAGATGAACGAGTGGCTGAAGAAAAAGACTTTGGCCGGTGAAGCTCACAGTCTAGACCACATTAGTAACCTCTTGGCCACCTTGTTAATGAACGATGACACGAAATACTTGGTAGGATTAACCATGGATTTAGGATTCGGTAACTCGGTGGATGCTAGAGAGTTCCTAGAAGATAACAACAGATGGAAAGACTGGTTCAAGTGGTTGATTCTAGCATATCAAAAGGAGATGCCATATGAAAAAACTGCATGGCTCAAAATTCTTGGATTACCATTAAGATTGTTTGATGATGATAACTTTTCCAAGATTGCTGGTAGATTCGGAAAAGTAATATCCCCCTTCGACAAGATTAGCATGAGAAGAGATTACTCCATGGGTAAGGTGGGAGTCCTAAAGTCTCAAAGAAAGTGGATAAACGAAGAAATAACTATCATGTTAGACGAGAATTATTACAAGCTCAGTGTAGTAGAATATACGGATGACTGGTCCCCATTCCACCCGCTGTTGTTTGACAAAGTGGAAGAAGATTCTGACGAAGACGAGATAGGCTTGTCTGAGGAGGAATATGATGAATACGAAGGTGCCTCAGACACTTGGATGGGGGATACTACAGAGGTAGAAGAAGGGGAAATTGTACCGGATCATGTGAACCCAAGCATATCGGAGATACCAACACAACCTGTTACGCACTAGGAAGACGACCATGATATCCACAACACCAAAATTTCGAGTCATGGCTGCCTGAAGACCCTATCGCCGGTGGTCTTGGGGGATGAACCAGGAATTAATGATTTCATTAATTCCATTAATGCAATGGGTACTCTCCCCATAAACATGGAGTCGGTTGAGATTCTCTAGAATACGAATGTTGAAGACGTGAGAATTGATTCTCACGTGGTAGAAGAAAATATTAATGCATGAGAATTAATGATAAGATCCTAGATGATCAGACTAACGGTAAACAAATCTTTTGGTCAATCTCAAATAATGGTCCAGTTCGGTTGTTTTGGATTGTTCCCAAATCCTTTTCCTGCAACAAACACAAAGTAAGCCCAAATAAGACCATTACGGAATCTAAGCAATAATTCTGGATCCCCTAACATTTGCAGCCCAACTACTAAGAAAAGGAAAAAAATATTCTAGCAGCCCAACACCAATTTTTAACTTTGTTCCCCCTGTTATCCCCTCAAATACATCTATTCAATGCTTGGATACGGCCACCGTTGTCGTGGAAATCAATGAGGTATCTATGCCTTTCGATTTAAATCAAAATTAGGAATGTGCAACATGTGATGCAACCAACGAAGTTCTGGGAGATTGTTCTAGCTCCTCCTCTGTGGGAATCTCACATACTGCTGAAATTGAGGTGGAATGTGGGTTTTAGATTGATGCTGTGACAACCCGAAATTTCCAAGCTTGTTTAAATAATTAAGCCTATCAGTGTTAGACTCATTTGGCTTCCAGTTATCACTGTTTGGAACCTGTTTTGAGTGTTTTAACCATAGTACATCTAAGGAATAAGAGATTGGGAATAACAGCTTAAGTTCTTAACTGCTTACAACCGTAAACCTCCTCAAAAAGGGAGTTTACGGTCAAGACCAATGAGTTTACGGTCATGGTGACCGTAAACCCATCCCTATATATATGGAGGGTGATCACTTCAGCCATTCTTTTCCCTCTCTCAAGCCTTAGAACTGATTCTCTCTCAAAAAGCATAAACTTTTGCTTCCAAATCTTCAAGAACAAGTAAGTGATTCCTTCTTTTTGTGTTAGATCCTTCCTAAATCCATGATTCACTCTTGATTCATCCAAGGGTTTCATCTTTTATCTAGATCATCAAAGATCCTCAAGAACACGGTTGTGTTTTGGACCGAAAACACCTTTTCTGCCTTCAAAACCGTAAGTATCATCTTCCCTTTCATGAATCTAGTTACAATCCGTCATTTTGGACTAAAGATCACCACTCTTTACTTGAACAAAAGAGTTTACGGTCTATGAATCTTCATAGACCGTAAACCCTTATAAAGGGTGTTCTAATAGCCTTTTCCCTTCCTAAGGCTAAGTATGGTCCCTAGAATCCGATGCCTTTGAATGAATCCCTTGAAAACCATCATTTGTGCAAGTTTTGATGAGTTTACGGTTGAATCTCCTTAGACCGTGAACTCCATGACCGTAAGGTCATTAGACCGTAAACCTTATGACCGTAAGGTCATAGAACCGTAAACACATGGGACCGTAAACCCATTTGAACCGTGAACTCAATGGACCGTGAACCCAAGAACCGTAAACTCCAAGGACCGTGAACACTTGGACCGTAAACTCCAATGGTCATACCTCTTTGACTGTAAACTCTATAGGGTGGCCATATACCCTAGCTATGCAATCATATGTTATTGTATCCCATAAATCTTAGAGTTTCCTAACCATTAAGGGTGTTACCCTTCTTATTTAGTCGTTTATACACTAAATTCATACACATACATGTCTATATGTGTCTATTAGGATCATTGTGTGTGCTCAAGGTTACACCTGACACTCTACAATCCTTTTCCAACCGCACGTCAGAACCACTCACTACAGGTGAGTTCATACCCCTTAATCAACCTTTGAAATGATTTTAAATGCTTTTATGGGGGGGGGGGAATACAAGTTGAAACATTCTAGTTATTATATTAATCATGTGATTAATAACTAGAACAAACAGAAAGATTTTCTATTACTTTCAAATTGTTATCAAACTTATGGATTTCAAATACTTCAAAACATTTTATTAAACTCTTTTAAATGCTAAATCCTTTATCAAACTCTTTTTAAACTTATATTATTGTCAAACTCATGTCTATACAGATATATTTATATAAGTAAGATTTGAAGGACTTAGGACTGATAGCTCACTTTATTTCCTGTTCCTTGTTTGGTTGTGGACTTAGAGTACCCTGTTATTTGTCCGAATGTCGTTGAAATCTTAGTTATATATCATATATATGTGTTTAGATATAAAATCTTTTACTTCAGTTCAATACCTTTGGGTAGCAAAGGCATACAAACAACATTACTAGTAAACTATAATTGGTATAGTTTAAGAGATTACCACTCACTATGATTAGTACAATGAAACATACAAGAGTCAGTTCATTTATGAGTCGATACAAACCTACTATTATGAGAAACAATACACACTATACACTATACAAGAGAATATAATATACACTAGTACAGAGAGAACATTACTACGCTATGACTTACTATACAAACACTAATGTACGATAAGTTAAATGTGAAATACTACTTCATGATACAACAATACATTGTTGTATCACTTTGTAACCAGAGTCTCCTGGAGGGAGAGCAGACATGGTGTGTATAGATCTATACGGGACAGACACTCCCACACCCCAACTGCTAGCTACAGTCCCAGCCGGTAAGGCCAAGGGGTGACAAAATGTCACCTCACTATTTTATGACGCCAGAAGGTCGTCAAGTATTCAGCCGTCGATCAGCATGGTTACAAACTAATTCACATCTAAACCCTTAATTATCAATTAAAGGCAATAGGACTCATTAAGAAGTATGGTACATTTAATACGACCTTGAGTCTTCATTTTTATCATTTAATAGTCGGTAGTATCACTGCTGAGGTAGAACATACTATTTTCCTAGTAGAGAATAGAAATGATTGGGAGAAAACATACTTTTGCACAGTAACAAAGTACTATTATATTTTTCCCACTATTACAAATACATATACAAACATTTCGATTTTATACAAGAACAAACATGTAAAATAGTCAGGCCTCGGGTAGAAGGCTACGTTATTTATAAGCAGAAAATATAGGATTTTCTGAGAAAACTTTACAAATTTTTCAGGATTTTAATATAAACATATTGTGGCTTTTAACTACTAAATGACACTAAATACTTATGAACTCACCAGCATTTTATGCTAATACTCTCTTTCAAAATAACTTGTATTCTCAGGGAACCAGTAAGACAGGTACACCCATACAGCTTTTGAAGGACGGAGTGGATCCAAGACTCGTCTTATTTTGATTGTACATTTTTGGTGTCATTTAAACTTACAAAAGAACACACATGTAATTAACTATTATATTAATGCAATGGATGTTGTTGCTGATGGGTTTTGAGCATTCTAACACTTCCTAAGTGTACATGCAACCCTAATAACCTTGGATCTATGTTTGTCTAATAATCATGCAAAGTTGAATTCCAAGGTTATATTCCTATCTAGCATACATGGGGAACATTTTTAACTTGAATGAAAGATAGAATAACTTACCTTGTTGTTGATTATGATCCTTGAAACCTTGTGAGCCTAGCACCCCAAGTGTGATGCCTCAAATGCTTCACACAACACCAAATGCAAAGGAGTAAACTTTGAGAGAATCTTACACTTGCAAAATCGGCTCTAGCCCTCTTGTTTCTTAGTGTAGCCTATTTTGGTGGAGAATGGGTTTCTTATATAGTGTTGACACATCTAGGGTTACACCATGTAAACCCTAATGTGTCATGACTCTTCATTTCCATGACCCATGGGTTTGTAACTCCCATGGAGCATCCATGGAGCATCCTATAGGTGGAACCCAACTTGATAATCCATGGAGCCTCTTAGCCCACTATATAAGATATGGAAGATTTACATAATCTACCCATATATTTAATTAGTTATCTTTTGATCACTTAATTAATTCTAAATTAATTCTTGATCAAACTAATTAAATAATATTATTAATATATTAGAACTTATAATATATTAATAAACCATAAGTGTTATTTCTCTCATTTTAGTTTATCCAATTGCATGGTGCCATGCAACCCAAATGGACCATGCCGGGTCGGGTCAAGTACATACCAGAAATAGTTATGGACTTAGACACCTTATCCAACAGTCTCCCACTTGGATAAGTCTAATAACTATAACTGCAATACTTCAGGAACCGATCGGCAATCGTAGCTCTTTCAAGGTCTCTCGGAACTGAGAAGATGATGATACACCATTTAAGATAAGTGATCATATAATCCTCTGTTCTAGATATCAGCCGGACAAATACATGGAACAGTGTCTTACTTTGTGTCCAGCAGTTTGTTTCCCGATTTCCGATTTGTTTGACAAAGAACTTAATTGAACACATCAACTTAGTTCTGACCGGGCCCGGTACATAGGTCAAAACAAAATCATCGAGGGGCCCAGATATCAGCTTCTAATCCAAGAAGGAACAGATAAACTTCGACTCATATGTTTGTTCTACCACTCATTGAATTATACACAAAAGCACGTTTTATAACATCGAGTTACCAATGCGTTAACGTACAATCAATGCATAACCAACTCATAAGTAACAAATCATATCTCTAGGTTTGAAGACTTATATGATATTACCGTCTCACGATCACTCGAGATAAATTCCATGAAGTGATTCCAGTGAGCGTGGGTTGAGTCCAATGCTCAGAACTTATGAGCACTCATGAGTGTTGTAGCCATGTCCAACAACTTAGACCTCTGCAACCAATCATGACAGTCTTGATTCATACCTACTTTCGACATATGACCGACTGTGGAGGTTCGAATAATATGATATACCAAACATAATTATTCTGGAAGTCAAAACATGCAAAAGAAATATAGTAAACGATCGACAAGAGATAGCAACACTTTACTCATAAATAAAACACCT